TAGCTATAATGGGTAGGTTGTGGCTCCTCAGTCTGGATTTGAGTGCCATCACCGAAAGGCTATAAAAGAAAATTCTCTGGGTATAGATAAGAACATTTCTCCTTTCAAATATGCAGCTGACTCAGGATAAGAAGACTAGATTATCCCATTGACATTGGTCAGGATTCAGAGGCATTTGGGGATCCCTATGAAAATCCCAGAAAGAACTTTAAGAGTTTCAAAGGGAGCTTTGGGCCAGACACATGACTTTGATGATTACTAGTTGAAAACTTATAGAGATGGAAAAATTTACCAGTGTGTAGAAAAAGGGTGTGTGTGCGTGCGTGAGTGCACCAATGTGTGTGCTCCAATAGTTAAAGAACCAGCAGATGACAATTGTTATTTGTCTGACAAAGGCTTAGAAGGCACAATGGCAGAGGAATATCTGTCTGTGGTGGCAGGCACGGGGATGGCATGGCAAGAAGGAGACAGTGACAGAGTGACAGAAGGCAATGTAAGGATTTCAATATTTCAAAATTTCAATTTCAATATTTCAAAAGCAAGAGGATGTGGATGCCTGCATTAGCCACTTATTTTGTCATCGAGAGAAAATATTTGACAAAGGCAGCTTTAAGAGGAGAGGCCTTGTTTTGGCTCTCTAGTCATCATGGTGAAAAGCTTTGACAGTGGGAGGGGGGGGACACCTGGTCACATGTAGCTGCAGTCAGGAAGCAGAGCGAGGATGCTGGTACTCAGCTGGCTTCCACCTTTCCCCTTCTTATTCAGTTTAGAACTCCGGCCCATAGGGGTAGTGTCACTCACATCAAGGGTAGATCTTACCTCTTCTGTTTAACTTCTCTGGGAACATCTTCATAGACATGCCCAGTGATGTGTTTCTCAGGTGATTTTACATCCCATCAAGCTGACATCAAGATTAGGCACCACGCCCTTGAGAATAGTGTGGCGTGGCATGGGAGAGGCTGCAGCCAGTCTGCGGCAGGTTGAGGAGTGCAGCATGTGTCACTGAAGCTTGAAGTTGATTGCAAACAGGCAGGGAGGGGTGACGGGGGGCCAACAGGAGTCAGGGGTGTAGCGTGCAGGTTAGGAGAGCGGAGGGAGGAACACTGGTGAGATGAGGAGGCTGAAAGAAGGGGGTGAGGCTTCTGAGAAGAAGGAGAGATGGAATCTGTGCTCAGAAGATGAGTCCAGGCCTGGGAGGGGAGAAGGAAGACCCCGGGGCGCAGTGTGTTCCATCTGGGGCTGCTGTACTTTCAGGGGGCTGCGGGAGAGAGCGTCGCCTGCTGAGGGCAGGAGAGGAGCGAGGAACAAGGAAGCTATGGGAAACAGCCACAGAGGACTGCCAAACAGAACTGAGTCAGGTTGAGGCTCGGTGGAGACCTTGAGTCTGAGGCAGTGCCAGTAGCCTGCTTTTCCTCTCTGAGCCCCAAGCTGCCTGAAAGTAGGGCTGAATCTCACGGCAACAGACAGTTTGGACCATGGCAGGCATCACCTGGACAAAGGCTAGGTGATGGTTGATCCTGACTGTCTTCATGATTGGAATGATTGGACGGAGCGATGTCTAGGATAGTCTTTAGTACAGGACACCTCTGGGTGTATCTATGAGGAGTGAATTTCTGGGTGTGTCTATGAGGGTGTTTTTAGGCATTTCTGGAGTATTTGTTACAGTAATGAAATCTTGAAACACAGACTTCTCAGCAAGTCAAGGCTGGCTCCTCACTCATGCTTGTGGCTCGGTCTGAGTTACAACAATGACCCGTTTTACCTCACAGGACTCTGTGCGCAAACAGGATCACACACTTACAAACTCTCAAGCCACACCCTACCTCACACCCTTCGGATGGCTGCAATGCAAGCGTGGTGAATAGCGAGTATTGGTGCAGATATGGGGCAATGGAACGTTCATGCATCGTGGGTGCGAGTGTGAAATGGCACAGCTGCTGTGGACCATGCTGACTCTGCTTTTAGTGCTCTGAGGACTTGTACAGTGTGGTTGAGAAAGTGCACTTGTGGGTCTCAGAGACATTTGTCTACAGGAGCACCATCCACTATAGGTAAAAATGCGACGTCTTCTGAGTGTCCATGAGAGATGAGCAAAATATGTAGGATATATAATAATGGAATATTAGTTGGGTTAAAAGAAAGGAAATTCTGGCTCATGTTATACCATGGGTGAACTCTGAGGACAGTATTCTTATTGAAATAAGCCACTGATAAAAACACAAACACTGTATTTTTCACTTACACAAGATGCCTAGAATGGTCATATTTAAGGAGGGAGTAGAATGGTGGCTGCCAAAGGCTGGAGGAAGGGGGAAGGGCTGTTCAGTGTGTACAGAGTCACTATTGGAAGCGCTCTGGGGACAGATGGCAGTGATAGCTGCACAAGCAGAGACAGCGACGCTCCCCTCTGTTACCCTGTGACCTGGCCACACTCTTCATGCTCTAGCATCAGGCTTTTCGATTCTCCAGCATTCACTCTCTAAGGTCTCCAGCCCTCACAGTCCCAGAGTATGGAAAACGGTACAGCATCCACTGTCACCGCACTCTGGGGACACACATGCAGGGCAGATGCATTAGGGTCCCTAAGGTCCCTTGGTTTCCTACTGGAAAGATCCATTCCTATAGAGCTTCCATGAGCTCTTACAGACATAAGTGACCCTGAGCACTGTAAACTTGGACTTTACACTTGGATTGCATTGCTTCAGAATGAACCAGGTTGGAAATGGCAGGAAAGCCCTGGGAAATGAAGGAAGAGCCAAGAAGAACAGCCTCGCTCCTTCTCGCATGCTCTTGCTGGGTTCTTTCCCTCTGGCTTCCATTCTGTGAAGGGCTCTTCCTTCCCAGGATGCAGTCTGGCTGACACAGGGGTCCCACTGAGGCCTCTCAGCAAATCTTTCCCCTGTGGCTTCCTATTTTCACGACAAGAGCAGCATAGGGGGTGGGGGTGGGAAACACAACCGGAAAGCCAAATCAAATCAAATGTCCCTGCCTTGTGAAGAGACCTTGCAGACAGCCAATTCAGAAACTAATTGAATGGTTGAGCCAGACCTTGGACAACCTGGGTAGTGGGGCAAAAGCATCAGGGCAGGCCTGGAAATGAGGCACACCCTCTGGTGTGGTACACCTCCATGGGGCACACCCACTCACTATGCAGCAAAAGGAGCAGCTGTGGATTCTGAGCCAGAGCTCTTAAAGCTTTTCCTAGCTCTTTCCATGTCATTTAACTATGAACCTAAACTGGGCCTGATCGAGAAGAGCCTGGCATCATATGCTCCCTGCTATTTCTGGAGGTTGCACTAACGGATTTGACCACCAGAGAGCAGTAACACAGTGACTCTTTGGGTGCTCAGGGAAAGACCCTGTGGCTGGAGGACTGAATGTCGTCAGAGAGCGCAGGAGCAGAGCAATGAGCTCAGCTTTGTGATCCTGTTGAGCACCCACAGGGGCGCTGCTGATGGGGGCTGCTGCAAAAGCTGGCCCTGGTTCTGGGCCCTTCAGGACTTAGCTAAGGCTTTAAGCCACAGGGGACCAGAGATTTTGGTCACTCAGGTCAATACTGCCACTGCAAGGCACGCCTCAGAAATATTCGTCCTTGCTTCCTTCCTTCATGTGTGCCATGCATGGTGAATGGATTTGAATGTGAGGGTACATGTGCCTGTGTGGAGGCCACAGCAGGGTGTCAGGCACCTTCTGTGGGTCTCTTCTCTGCCTTTTTGCCTTAAGACAGGGTCTCTCCCTAACCAGAAGCTCACCATTTTGGCTGAGCTGCCTGTCAGTGAGCTCTCTCCATCTGCTTTCTCTACCCTCTGAGGTTACAGGCACAGCTAGTCATGTAGCTGCTTGCCGGGGATTCAAGCTCACATCCCCTGGCTTGCAGAACATGTACTGTTTCCCACTACAGCATCTCCCTGATTCCTTCAGAGAGTTTTCTATGGATTTGCCTGTCATTTTCTTCCAGGGTCCCACTAGCTGTGTTTACAATACTTGGAAAAATTATATTTTCAGAGAAAGCCACTAGGGTGTCATTTTTGCAGAAGCAGGTGTACAGCTTCCCAGTTGTTTGGCAATTTATCTTAGGAAGGGGGTGCCCCTTCAGGAACCAAACACAGGGAATCTGAGCTCTGCAAATTTAGCTTAGCTATGGCTTTTCTTTTGCTTCTAAAATACACGGCAACCCTTCCTTTTTTGTGTTTAGAGCAGCCAGCGCTTTCTAAAATGGTTACAGGCACCTGGGAGCATTGCCCAGAACTGGCTCTTTGGTGCTGGCCAATATTTACAATTCTGTGCCTAGAAGCCACAGGAAAGAACTGAAGAAAGCTTAGGTGAGAGTTAGTGTTCTAAGCTACTGTACCACCCGAGGAAGTATTTCTGCTCTCTGTGGCTTTCACTATTGCAACCCCCACCACCGGAAAACACGGAGATCAAATTCTTATCTCCTTTGCCTCCATCCAGCTGGACCATCCCATCATTCCTTTGAAGAGTGTACTTGTAAGAGAGACCAGGCTAGTGAGAAGTTAAGTGGGAAACAACCTGCTGATCTGATTAACAAGTAATGTGATGTAGGAGGAGTTCAAGTAAGAACATCCCCTGCAGGCTCCCACTGGACAGGAAGGGAGGGAGGGTCACTGTGTGCAGAGCAGAGTGTAGTCCAAGTTCATCTCCTATGGGCTCTGTGACCTTGGGCACATTCCTAACTCCTGTGAGGTATACAGAGTGAGTTAGAATATCAAGGGTCACTTCAGTCCGAAGACAAGTCTTATTATTACCTTAGTTCTAAGCAAACATCACAAAAGACATTAAGAGGTCGTCCAGCAGCAACAGGCATTTTCAGTACCCTAGGTCTTTCTCTGAGGGCATTGTGTCTGAGTTGAAAAAGTGACCTAATGTCAACTTCTGGCCTCTTCTGCTCAGCATCTCTTGCCTCAGCTGCTGCATCTTGGGAGGTACCCATGGAAACATGGGGAGTTATGCAAGAGACTCTCAGCCATGCCAGAACCTACCCTTCTCTTTGGTACTCTTCATCCAAATTCGACAGGAGCTGTGAGCCCCCCGTGGAAAGGTCTACAGCAGCCAGGGGCAGGTCCCGATAGGCAAAGTTCACCAGCTGCACAGGAGCAATGCTCTTGGTTTCTTCATCTACTTGTTGGGAGATAATCTCTACTTCAGAAATTCCTCCTTCAATGGCAGGCCTGGGTGGAGAGGAGGAACAACAGGGAAGGGTTAGCTAATGAAAACTATACACCATCTTCCCTGTGTTAAGGGAGGAGGGGAGTGAAGGTACAGGAAGCTGTGCTGTGCTGTGCTGGGGGACAAGGGAAGCATGAGGCTGCTATTCTTTCCCACTGGCCAGTCAGGGACTGGTCCAAGAGCCTGGTCAGTTGCCTTTTCCTCACCAACTAGGGTGAATGGCAGGACTGAACATGTGGGTTTTGGGGGGCAAGTCCTTTAGGGAGGGGGTAAGGACCCTCTGCTAACCAGACACACACACACACACACACACACACACACACACACACACACAGCTGAAGCTCTTAGCAGTCTTTGTCACTGCACTTTCTATTGTAGTGATACACTGAGAATTATTGCATGAGGTTCTTTGCAGTGGTTCCATTGTCTGCCGCAATAATAAAAGGTACTCTGTTCCCAACTGGATATATACTCTAGGTAGCTAGGAACTTCTTGGAGACTTGGGGGCCTTGAGGTGGTGAGGAGGAGAGCCAAGGATAGCTGAGATGCTGCTCCTTTCCTATTCAAAGGGGCCATACCTCCATTCTCAAGATTGGGGAATGGGAAATTAGGGGTCACCTGAGCAAACAGAGGAGTCTGGGTCAGTCTATGTCTTAGGCAGGCTTACCTTGGGCACTGAAACCAACCCACAGCTTCACTGGCACACAGTATGCCTCAGCCAGGGGCAGGGACACCTCCCAACCCACCAGGAGTTCTATCAATTTGTGGAGGCATTTTTAATACCACTGGTACCTAAGTAGGAATGGAGACATAAACATCCTGCAAGATGATTAACAGCTGTGTGCTGAGCCAAACATCTCCTGATGGGGGATGCAGGGTTGGAGACTTTGGCTGTCCCTTCCTGGGCATCTTTGGTCCCTCCTACACATCCTTGGCCCTGTCACATCCTGTAGAACCTGAGAGGCTGAGTCTTGTGTCTCTGGTCAAACAGCAGAGTTAGGAAGGGAAGTAGTATGCATGAAACAGTAAAAACTTAGCATTTGGGGGGCACAGAGGATCCGTGCATGGGGAATGAGAAGCCAGTGACAATCCAGAGGCAGCTGGTCTGCCATAGACTGTTCTTGGGCACTGGTACCACTTTCCATGGTGCTTTTCCATGGCCTTAGTTTCTCTAACTGAAAAAGGCTTCCTGGGGGCTCCCATGGTCTGCTGTGGATCTGAGAAGAATGGAGTATGTGAGAGAAGCATCTGAGTGACAAGTCCTACTTGCTTGTCCCTCTTGCTCTTCATGGGAAAACTCAACAGTGTGAGACCCAACAAGCAATACATAGTAGCAGCTACCTGGGGTGCTCAGAGCTGAATCTGCCTACTTCCTTTGCTTGGATTATTCCAGGGTTACAGGTAGGCTGCCTGGAACACCCACATTCACCAGGTAATCCCCGTGCCCAGATTTGCTTTCGTAGGTCCCCCTTGAGTCTTTGGTTTTTTCCTCCTTGCCAAGCACAGACAATATTACTCATCAGTGTGACATTTAGAAAACGACTCAAGAGCTTCTGACAGAACAGTCATGGGATATGCAGTTCTGTGTTTCTCAACAATTGATCTAGAAGTGTGGGTGTTTCTGGGGGAATCCCAGCTACCCTAGATGTTTCCTAAAAAGTACATGCTGGGTTAGTTTGTTCTCTTAGGGACTATTCAAGAAAGCAGGGTTTTTGAATTGAACAAACAGAATTTTCTAATCAGTGTGATCAAAGAAGGCTGGAGTTATGTTTCTGAAACTAACAAGGTCTGATTCTGATGTGTGTGGGAGATTACATCTGCCTTGTCACATCCCTGCCCTCCAGTCCACTTTGACAGTGGTTGTAATGGTCCAGCTCCATTTCTGGTGGCATGGTCATCTCAGCAGAGACTCAAAGGTTCCTTTGATGAAAATGAAACTCTCATAGCTCCCAGCCTAATTATTGAACCTACACATTGGTCTCATATAGAAGAGCACTATGCTGGATAAAGTACATTAGTGGCTCCACTCAGTCTTCCTTGTAGGGGTAAACACCACCCTGATTGCCCCCTTTGTCACGTGGCATTGCAGCTACTCCCATCGAAAGAAGTGTGCATGCGTGTGTGCGCACACACACATGCATGTATTGCATTTCCAAATCCTTGATTGTGTGTTCAGCCACGTGACTTGTTTTGATCAATGTAGACATGTTACCAGCAGAAGAATGAGAGGTACTTGTGACTGACTCTTTGTCTGGCTGTTACTCCAGCAATATCGCCAGTAGAGAGTGATCAGTCTAGACTATTGAATGAATAGAGACACATTGGTTAGAGTCTGTTCTCACCTGGATCAGCTGGCAGCTCTACAACAAAGCCCACAATGAAGGGCAATCCCAGGCAAGATCAGCAGATCCATCCAGCTGATCATCCAGCCATGTGATCCTGCATTGTATCACATTGAGGAGGGCTGTCACAGTGCACTACAATGGCACAGAGAACGCACTCATGTGTCATCATACTTCTGATGACTGAGGAGCCAGGCACACAGCTAAAGGGGCTGGGACAGCGTAATGTAATAGAGGTTGTGTTATTTTTATCTTGGTATTGTTTACCAGTGAGTTGCCAGACACAAAATAAATTGCCACCTGCTGACTTGCCACACTCACTGACACTTGGTAAGATCAAATGGTTCATTCATATGGCATCTTGGGTTTCAGGAACTGAATACAACCCTTTAGGAGACCTTTGCCTGGTGTCATAAAGCCCGCTTTTAGAAACCCTCATGGTTTCTAAATTTCCTTGCAAGTCTCATTTTATTATCACTGTAGCATTTTCCTAGTCTTATTCTGAGGGTTGCCTCCGTTGCCTGAAGTAGCAGAACTTCATTTCGTGGGAGACTCGCGGCAGCATTCTAGATCCAGGGAGCAGGCTCTGATGGTACTTACTGTGGATTGGTCATGTTGAAAGACGCAACCAAAGCCATGGGCTTTCTTGATGTCTAGTGGGGCTCAGCTGTCCTTAAGCCTGATCTTAGCATTTCCAAGTGGGGCTTTTATAAGATTCATGAAAATAGAGTGCCCTGTAATGATAAATGGGCATTTATTACCTTCAGATGCCAAATGGAATTCCTCTGAATCTCATCTAAAAATGGAGTGCTTAGCACTGTCTCCCATAAAGCACTTTTCTGATGGCACTGCTGAATGGATCTTTCCAGCAATACCATGGAGTGGTTGTGACAGGCGACATGCTTCTCTCTCTCCAACCCTTCAGACTTCCTCATTTACCCATGTTATTCCCACGAAACTGCTGCACTCCAAATCCCACCATGAATTGTAATTTGTCTCTCTTTTCTTCTCAATTGAATCCTCAATGAGAGAGCCAGCAGACAGACAGCAGCTAAGGGGAACTAGCCCTATGGCCAGTGTGTTGAGGGTCATAGCCTCCCTCTGCTATTTCCCCATCTACAAAAAAGGGTAATGCCGGAACTACCTAAGTGATGGGATGCATGGGAGATGCTTGGAACAGTAGCAAACTGTGTAAGTGATAGCTTTTATTATTGTGTTTGGAAACCTTTAATAAATTAAGATGGTACAAGCTGGCTAGGTGGTGGTGGTGGTGCACACTTTTAATCCCAGCACTTGGGTGAGAGGCAGAGCCAGGTAGAGTTCTGTGAGTTCCAGGCCAGCCTGGTCTATAAAGCTACGCAGAGAAACCCTGTCTCGAAAAACCACAACCACCACCACCACCACCAACAACAACAACAAAATGGTACAAGCTGTTGAACCTGATCATATCCCAAAAACTATTTGGAGACCTAAATACAAAGCCTTCCTCCCCAAATGTGGCTTAGGTCAATAGTGTAAGCTTTTCTACCAACCAATGTGACAATACCACAGATGGCCCCTGTGCAAGCCGGAGCAGTCCTGAAGGGAGGACACAGGCAGCAAGCACTGCTCCGGATGCTTCCAGACAAGTCACTGTGGAGGTGTTCAAAGTGGTAAAGTTTTGGTAGGCCACACCGCACACAAACTGCTGTTCCTACAAGAATTCCTCATGGGATAAAAACCTCATTCTCCTGATCTGAAACTCTGCTCAGAAAGGAGGCTCAGCTGGAGAGACAAAGGGAGAGCCACACAGAACGAATATGACTCTCAGGATGGGAAACACCAGGAACAGATGGCCAAGGAGGAGCTCACACTCATGCTGCAGGAGAAACCCTGGGAGGGGCTGGGCTTAGCACAGCCAGGAAAGAAATGGGAGCACTCTATAACTGCATGGAGCTCAAATCCACCATCATTTGACACCAGAAATCAGGAGGGGGTAAAACAACTTGGGACAAAGGGTCAGAGACAGTTTGGGCAGAGTTTGGAAGATGTCTTGTGGACACATCTCACTAAGGTAAGGGTTTAGTGGACCTTAGCCTCAGTGGACCTCAGAAAAAAGGTCTAAATATTGGACTGAAGACTCCACTTAGCAATATTTGGGGTTATATATTATACAGTAGACATATTATACAGTATTATAATATATGTACTCTATTATACAGTAGACTTAAAATTCACTGCCCCACCATGCAGAGTTAATCAATTTCAACTTTTCCCTCTCTTTATGAACACTCTCACAATGTCTTCCTGGTACTGAGAGGATTGTCTGTCTTCAACTGCTAGTGGAGCCAGAGTGGAGGAACCCACAATTGAGAGCTAGGTGAGCAATGCTGCTTTCCCAATGAGGTCTTGGCAAACCGCCATTCCTAAATGGACACCTGAAATGCTATACAAGGTAACAGCCCTATGAGGATACCATAGGCAATCACTTTTGTTCACATGCCTCCCAGGCTGGCTGGGCCAGCAACTTAGAATATAGAAAACTAAGTTTTTGACATACCTAACTAAAGAAGAGTAAGAAAAAACTGAGGACTCTATTAAATGCAAAATAGTACAACAATATATTATAGCAAATATGAAACAGACAAAAAGGAAGAAATTAAAATTGTAAAGAACTTTATTTTCAATTTTAGGAAGGAAAATTTCAACTATATACAACATTGTAGAGAATTGTGTAATGGACCTCTAGTTTCTTACCACCCAATCTCAATATGTAACAGTTAACAACGGTCTTGTTTCTTCTATATACCTGTCTATATACCAGAGAGAGATAACTGAGAATGGGGTGAGCTTTTGAAACCGAAAGCCTGTTCCCAGTGACACACCTCCTCTAACAAGGCCACACCTCCTAATCCTTCCTAAACAGTTCCACCTACTAGGGGCCAACTATTCAAACATATGAGCCAATGGGGGCCATTCTCATTCAAACCACCACAGTTATATTCCTCTACCTCTCTCCCCTTCACTTCTCTTCATGTCTTCTCTCACTCACTCACTCACTCACTCACTCACTCTATCTATCTATCATCCATCTATCTATGGAAGAGACTGTCACAGCCACTCTCTTAGTTATCTGGCTCTTACAATCTTTCTACCCCCTCTTCTATAGTGTTCCCTGAATCTTAAGTGTAGAGTTGTGTTGTATGTGTATCAACCCCATAGTTGGGTAAGTATTTAGCTTGCAGTTAGAGATTACATTGGTTTAGGAAACTGAAGAAGTAGGTTTCTTCTAGGTTATATGGTTTCACCAGCCACTGGTACCAGCTAAATTTATAGTCCCAGGCATGACTTCCCTCTTGTTGATCAGGTGCCTCTTGGTTACCCCTGGGTTATAAGTGCCACTACTGCACCTTTCAGAATAACCTCCCATCCTGGTTACTGCAATGGTTCGCTGGTGTTACAGTTGGGGAGACTATCGATTGCTTTTCTCTTTTGGCAGCTAGCTTGGCTCCTTCTGAAACTATAAGAGCTCATCCTCAGTGAGGAGGCTTCAAGGTCAGACCCAGATCGATTCCTCTAAATTCAGTGTCCCAAGTGTGTGGTGTCTTCAGTAACAGGGTCTTACCTTCTTTTTCTGAAAGGCACCAAGGGCAACAGCAATAGCCTATAATGCCTTGCTCCCCGGAACAACGACTCAGTTTTCCCATGCTTGCCACTGGAGTGTTTGTTAAATAGTCTTCAGGTTTCTTTTGGGAGAGGACTGTCACCCCCAATTGGTGTAGTCTCTCCCTCTCCCTCTCCCTCTCCCTTTCCCTTTCCCTCTCCCTCTCCCTCTCCCTCTCCCTCTGTGTGTGTGTGTGTGTGTGTGTGTGTGTGTGTGTGTGTGTGTGTGTGTGGTTTTAAGTATCCATAAAGTAATATAATTCTCTAAGGCTTTTCCAAACTTTTTTCTTTCTTTCTTTCTTTCTTTCTTTCTTTCTTTCTTTTCTTTTCTTTTCTTTCTTTCTTTTTTTCTTTTTTCTTTTTTTTTTTGGTTTTTTGAGATAGGGTTTCTCTGTGTAGCTTTGGAGCCTATCCTGGCACTCGCTCTAGAGACCAGGCTGGTCTCGAACTCACAGAGATCCACCTACACCTGCCTCCCAAGTGCTGGGATTAAAGGCGTGCATCACCAACATCGGCTTTCCAAACATTTTTAATGTTACTTATCCCTCTTCTTTCCTTCTCCCTCTGTGTTGCTGTCCCTTCTCCCTTCCCAGGTAAGTCTATCCCCCCACTCCCGCCACCTTGCTTTTCAGTCAGCCATTAATAGCTAAAGCTCACAACCAAAAAGGCATACCACAAGAAGTTTCATCAATCTCAAGTCAATATTTTCTTAATAACATCATACATTTCCTTGCCTGTCCTGTAGTTTTTTAAAGGTCTTTTCAACAAGGAGCTGTGCTGGTTGATTTTGTCAGCTTGATACAAGCTGTGGTCATCTGGGAAAAGGGGACCTTAATTGAGAAAGTGACTTAATCAGATTGGTCTATAAGCAAGTCTGTGAGGCATTTTCTTGATTGATGGTTGATGTGGAGGGCCCAGCCCACTCTGGGTAACACCACTCTGGGCAGGTGGGCCTGGGTTAGATAAGAAGGCAACTTGAAGGAACTACCAAAAACAAGTCAGTAAACTGTTCCTCCACGGTCTTTGCTGCAGTCCCTGTCTGGAATCCCTGCCTTGTGTCCCTGCCCAGGCTTCCCTTGTTGATGAACTGTAACCCATGAGGTGTAGTAATCCTCTGCAATCTTTCTTACCTTGTGCACAATATTGGTAAAAAACTGGTCATTTGTCCCATAATCTTGGATTGTGGTGATTACATCACTTCAGTCGATACATTTAACCAATATGTTCCTCTGTTTCATACATTTCCTGTGAATTTTAATTACTCTGTAGACTTTAACTAGATTCAAGTTCTTTTTTTTATTATAAAACTTGATGGGTCGTGTCTTCTAATAGGAGACAAATGCTACCTTATTGTTCCTCTTTTAAGGACATTAATAGCCATTGGTAATTTACTAGATTCATTCATTCATTCATTCATTCAAGGTTTACAAAATGGTGAGTTGAATTTTATTATTATTTATCAATCAGCTTCTATGAATACAAGCTTTCCCTCATCAGTGGTTTGATCAGACCAAGATAGAGTTCATATATAGAGGAAAAAAAGAGATACATTTTGCTTTTTATTAGTTTTCAGAACAATAACTTGGTCTCTTATCATCTTCCAGAATGATGGATGAGGTGTTTGCTGTGTTTAGTAGCCTCATGGGATCGTTAGCTTATGCTGCAGGAGCTGGGTAGGAAGCTGAGCCCTGACAGGTGGTAGCACTTGCCCAGCGCTGTGGTTCTCAGGGATGCCTACCTCCTAACACACCAGCGAAGGTAAGGTCAGGAAGAGTGTGGAGTGATACAAGATGGACAATAACTAGCCACTGCGGCTGGAACTTCTGGTCCTTGGCAAGCAGAACGTTTTAGGAGACAAAATGCCTTAAGATAATGGGAACACTCAGCCTGGCTGTTATTTAAAAATAATATTTTCCAAACAAAACCACCCTCAAAGCACAAGCCTAGCACGAAGCAGGTGTAGTCTGGCACTCTATAAATGAACATCTGAAGTGCA